CATAAACTACAGAATTAGAAATGTATTCCAAGGGACTTTAGGAATATGCTCAATTAGATTACTTTTAGCTTTACATTCTCTTCTCTGATTCTTGCATATATATCCTGGCCTCTCCTTGCAAAGATGTTAATTCCACACTGGTTCTAATGAAGAAGTTTTACATTTATCTTAATTTTATTTTCTATGCTAGCTCAGTATACCTTGGAAATTTACATGTTTCCTGTTCATTACCTGTGAAATTTATCTATTGAGTGTCTTAGCAACTTACCTCTCCTTTCTAAGTGCTTCCATGTCCAAAATTCTGGAAATCACTTCACATTAGAAATGATAATATGCCATTTGAAAAAGGCTTTCATTATTGCATTATTTTCTGGTTCTGCAGATACATATAGTGTTTGATACAAACTGTGCTATTATATATCGTAATGCATATACAAATCCCATTTAATTTCCAGAGGACATCATTTGTACAAGGATTTTATAATATTTTAAGTAGATCTAGAGTATAAGTGCTGTAAGTGTAAAATTATTCTGGTGAAGTGTTTTTATTGTCCTTTATTATCTTCCTCATTTGCGTTATTATGATTATAGTTATTATTAACCTGTTTGCTTCAGTTGTTTGTTCCTGCTGTTACATTGTTTACATCTAATAAGATAGCCATAAGATTTCCCGTAAATTAAATACATCTGCTTTTAACATAAGACTGTAGCTTTCATAATTATTCTGCTATCTATAAATTCATATGGTATTCATTCTCAGTAAATGTTTACACAAGGAATAGTATAACTGTTTTCTTCTTAAGAGATTTGGAAATTTTCCAAATAGTCTTCTGGAACATATTGGGATATTGATGACACAATTGCTTGTAGGGCAAAAAAGCCTCTGAGCATTTAGTTTAATTGTATTACATAGAATAATTTACTAATTTAATAATAATTTGCCAATAAGTATGGAAATATGTACATGAGTGTTGTAAGTCACCCTAACAGCTGAAATATTACACCAACATTGAATGTTCTGAATGAAGGATTAATTTCATACTGCTTTATTTTATTATTTATTTTATTCTTCACTTTATTCTGCTATACCAGTGGTGGCGAACCTATGGCACGGGTGCCAGAGGCGGCACTCGGAGCCCTCTCTGTGGGCACACGTGCCGTTGCCCCAGCCTTGCCTCCCACTGCGACCCCCTCCTCTCCAGCAGCCCCCCTGAAGGAGAGTCGCCCCTGACCGTGGCCCACCCAGAGCAGCGCAGCCAAGGACATGGCAGTCAGGCAGCGTAGACAAGACTCTGCCCTCACACCCCATCATGCACAGTTGATGCTGCAGGGCACAGGCAGAGGGCGTGACCGCCATAGCGCTGCTGGGCTGCCTGGGCGATCTGCGGCGGGCCCTGGAGGCAGTGAGTGGCCCTGCAGGCAGGCGGGGCGACGGATGGGGCGGGGCAGGGGGTGGAGTGAGGGCAGGGCCAGTTTTTGGGCATGCAGTCTCTAAAAGGTTCGCCATCACTGTGCTATACCATTGAATAAAAAGCCTAATTAATACAGTTTTATTCAGGGTTGGAGATAATTATTGAAAACATAGCACATTAATTTTTATTGCTTCCTTTATCATGTAAGCCTAAGGCAAAAATGCTGCTTATTTTAAAGAAAATTTCTAGTCAGATTTTACGTTCTCCACATGCTTTATATTTACAAGAATTCCATATTCTCAGAAATATTTATTTTCTTTGTCTGTAGTTATCCCCTTTATCAGTTAGGAAATCCTCCAACAAGAATTTTCCGGACAGATTACTTCTTGACTCTGGTGAAGCCTGGTGTCCCACAGCTAGAAGATACGGTACAGTTCCGCATCCCCATGGAGTAAGTACATACAGGGAAGAAGATAAAGTTAAAACATTGAGTTAAAACATTCAGAATAATGTTATCCAGTTTCTCAGAGTGCCATAGTGGTGAAGCAAGTACATTATGCAAAGTTATCAGTAACAACTGGAGCCAGTTTGCTTGTTGATCTGTGTGTACACTGTGTTCCCTGTAGGCTGTGCCACAACTTTGAGGATTTCTTATAAAGAGTAATGGTTCTTACACTTCCCTGTCCATATCTCAGTGGACTGATTCTTTTCTATTGGATCAGATAGAGACTTGGGAGAATTCTGAAACAGTCTGTTTCCCTTCCTAGGTACTGAGTTTGGGAAATATAGATCTATAGTAGAATTTTCCTGATTGAACCTGGGAACAGAGCAAGATTGCATATTACGTAAATGTTTAGGTTCCTGGAAGTTTTTCCTCTGTATTTTTTTAAACTTATGGGAAAAAGGGAACTTTTTTTTGTGCTTCCTGGAATAGCCCTGTAAACACACCATGCTGCATTATTACTTAACTGATCCTAAAAATGTCAGGGAAGGATCTTCTGCTCTTTTATAGACCCAAACACTACTGTAAGCATTCATGGATTATTATTTTTTAATAATAATAAAAAAAGCTTTGCCAAAATGAAAAAAATTAAACATTGTAACCCTGTCTGTCCCCAAAATGGTGGTCAAAGGTGAATTCTAACTGAACCTTCATCCGGATTACTCCACTCAATTCTTTGTTTAAGTTCCAGCAGAAATCTCAGGAGTATCTCTTTTGGCAGAATATAGCGTCATGGTTAACCATTCCTCTCTATCTGTGTGATCTGCCATAAGATCCTTTACCTTGTCTGGCTTGATCTTTCTTACCTTTCACTTTGTTAATAAAATAGTTGTGCGATATATCAGGATGCTTCTTTCAAAGTCAGGAATTACTGAATAACATTATACTTACTGAAATTAATATTCTGGCCTTGTTCCTTAATGTGCTTCAATTTTTTGCTTGCTTTTGGTACAGCATGACAAGAGTAGAATTGAAAGACTACCTTGAAAAAATATACAATGTGCCAGTAGCTGCTGTACGAACCAGGATACAGTTTGGTGAGTCTTCAACTGAAGAACAGTGGTTATTCATTATTGACAAACTCTCTTTCATATACTTTATGTTTTCTGAATCTTTGCTATTTAAAGAAGCAATTGCAGCATATTGATTACTGCAATTTATATTCCTTTGCAAAATAGTCAATTCCTACATGAATTGGAACTTGTCATTTCTTTGTTTTTTAGAGAATCAATCCTGAGATTATATTAATTTTAAAAAGTGTTCTAGTCCAAAACTGATGCTTGATTTAACCTTCTTAAATGAAGTTATTTCACTTCATATAATACTTCATATAATTAGGATGAAAAGACTCAAATCTTGTTGGGTTTGTGCAAGGCAGAATTGTAGATTAAATGTAGCAAACGTGGGTTAAGAAAGCACATCTATAGAATAAGGTTGAAAGCCAGTTTTCCGAAGAAAATAGCTCATGGCTTTCACTATCTTGAAACAAATGCTGAGACGGTATGAATTCAGTAAGATGACTTTAAACTGTTAACAGAAAAAAAGACAAATATAATTTAAAGATGTAACAGAGACTGATGGGATGACTTGCACAGGTTTAGTCTAGTGAAAAGGAACAGATATAATAGAATGGAGTGAAAAGGAATTGCATTGTATATTCAAAATATCCACACCTCCAAAATTCTAGTGAATGAACTTGGTGACAGTGTAGAACATTTGGGTTAAAATAAAATAAATGGAAGAAATAAAATAATACAGAGGAAATGGAGAGAAAAACTCCATTAGAACATTTGGGTTAAAATAAATGGAGGAAATGGAGAAATAAACTTTGCCAGATTTGGGCCTTTCACTGTCATTTGTTTCTATCACAGAATGGAAGATTGACTACCCTGGACTTGATATCAGTCTGTAACAAAGTTGTACTTGTAGATATAGACATATAAAAATAATGAGGGAACGTGATTGTATAAAATTGGAGTTCTTGATATTGAAGAAAACTGAAAAGAGCTTATTGTAATTCAACATATATCTTGAACTCTAAAGAACTTAATTTTTCATTTGGAACAGTGATAGGAAAAGTTGCTTATAGTGGATGAGAGTCTGTAAAGCCACAATTACAAGCAAATCAAATGAGGGAGGATAGCAAAAGAAGCAAATGTCTGAATGAATTGAGGCTGATGAATATTAAGAGTAACAAAAAAGACTTCTTGAGATATGTTCAAAATAAAAGAGAAAATGTAGCAACTACTTTGTAAACATGGCAAAATGCTAACAGGTACAAGAACAGCAATAACAAGGCTGGAACCCGGGGAGGCACTGCTGTTGTATACTCTTAATTTGGCTCGGTGTTCTCCAAGAAGAGGATCTGTATTTCACCTGAAAATGGTGAAGAACAGGATAAAGAGGTAGGATTGAAGTTTAAGGCTAAAAGAAATATTAATTAATTAAGCTAGGTGAATTGCATCAGAGGATGGTTAAGGGACATACTATTGATATGGTTAAATCTTTGTGTGTTATATTTGAGAAACCTTGGAGAATGGGTGAAATGTTAGATGATGGGAAGGAGACAAATATTAACTCTTGTTTTAAAAGAGAGAGAGAGTAGTAAGAAACAGAAAACTATATAAGTTCTTAATATAGGTACCTGTGCCAATTCTAAAGCTGATAGAAGACTCATGATGGCATCACTTGCAGAAGGAATGCGGATCGCAGGAATACTGTTGTATTATATATTGATTTAACCAAATCATTGGACAATGTATCTCATGGCTTTCTGATTAGCAATATTTAATCATTGGCTACCTTGAAAATATTCTCGGGGCTTCATCAAACATATTGAATGGACTGCCACAGAAATCGATATTTGTATTAATAACTTATAATTTATATAGCTGCCCATCGCAAAAGCATAATACTGGATGGCTTACAACAATTAAACATTAAAACAAATTACACAAATTAAAATATTTATAAAAAAGACCTTGGGACACTAATTGACTGAAAAGATGAGTGCAATGTAGGCTGCATGAATAAAAGGATGGTTTCTAAATCACAAGAAGGAAAAAAAATCCTCATGTAACTCTTTGATGATCAGTCCCACCTCCATAGTGGGTTCTATTCTGATCACTTTGTATTCTGGAACAGAAAACATACTTGGTTATTGGAAGAAACTGGAACACATTTAGAAAAAGTGTTTGATGAAAAATATTGAAATAGATTCAGAGAAGAAGAGCAAGGGAACTAGAAACTAAATCTTTTGAAAAGAAATGCAAGAAACTGGAAACATTTAACCTTAAGAACATTTAACTCTTGTTTCTTTGTCAAGACAATTGTAATGTGTGAATATCAGATTCAGTAACTTGTGAGCGGTAAAATTGCTGCATGATTAATGCGCCCGTCCTAAATACTTCTGCTCTGAGAGAAGAGTTTACCCACTTAGGAGTAGCCACAGACTCCTTTCTAGACATCACGTAAATATGATTCCTGTTTTCTCTAACTGAAAGGGTAGGGGAAAGGAACCATTAGCTTCTTGTAAGTCAATATGTTGGTCTATTTAACAGGCTCAAACAAACAGAGGGATGACAAAAATAGACGAATCAAGAAGCCAGACTACAAGGTTGCCTATGTACAGCTGGTGAGTAAATGCATCTGTTTGGAAGCTGGGAAAGTGAGGGAGTTGTGGTAGATTTTAGTTGAGTCAATTATTTATGGGTTTCAAAATTCTGTTATGAAGACATTGTTTTTCTAAAGGGGATTGAAAGCGATTGAGCCCTGGGGAAACAGGATGCAAATTTCAGCCAGGCTGGTCTGAGGGATCTGCTCTTAAGTTCTTTGAAGGCGAAACTGCTACTTGGAAAAAATCCTACGCATTAACTCGGAATGGCATAATGCTGAAGAAGTGAGAAATAGTCAGAAAGTTGTCATTGGTAACTTGGCCTATTACTATTGAAAACGTTTGTTTTTTTTCCTGGTTGGCATATGTGGCATGGTCAAAGGCTCCATGGAGATTTCTTTTGAAAAGCTTCATGAACAATCCGCATTACAAAGCTAAACTGGGCTTTAGCGTTTAGGATGAAATGTTGTGAAATTCTCTGATTGAAAATATATGGATTGGCTGTAAGTTCCTAGACAAAAATTATAAGAGTAAAACTTCTTTCTCCATTAGCTCTCAGAGCATCTAGATCAAAAGAGAACAAATCCTATAGATTGAAAACTATTGAGGTAAATATACGGAGGGTTTTTGTATGTTAATTGTATGGTAGAATATAAGAAAAGGCAGCACTTTTGAAGTTAATGGGCACATTTGGATTCTCATAATCTTGCTCTGGGCCTTCTGATAAGCTGACTGTGGGGGGGAGGGACTTTCCTGCTCATAAAATGGCTCAGCCATAGCTTTTTGCAGAAGAACATATGCCCCAAAAGGTAAACTAGTGACTTGGTTACCAGTTGCTCCCTCCCTGCTTATAGAATTAACTCTTTACCTTTTCCTCTTTTTTCTGGATAGATGGGTAAAGTTGAAAACAAAGCACTGGAGTACCGCTGCTTTTTATTTTCTAGAACAGCGGTTCTCAACCTATGGGTCGCGACCCCATTTGGGGTCGATCGACCATTTCACGGGGGTCGCCAAGCAAGGCTGTCCACCATTTTTTTCCCTTTTCCGGCGGGTGCCTTACCTCCCTTGAGCTGGGCCAACTGGTGGTCGGCCTGCTCCGTCTCTGCCGCTTGCCAGCTACGCCTCGGCCGGCGCAGGGGGCAGAACCACGCATGGCAGGGAAAGTCCTCGACTTACTACCTGTTGGGTAGTCCTCGACTTACGACCGGTTTAGTCCTCGACTTACGACCGGTTTAGTCCTCGACTTACGACCGGTTGGGGGTCACGGCATTAAAAAGGTTGAGAACCACTGTTCTAGAAATACCAGGGAGATCTTTTTTTATGGCTCAGGGATATTCTTGTCACTTAATATGAAATCAGAAAATCAGAGATATATTAATGCTCTATTCTAGATCCTTGATGGATCTCATTAAGCTGCACATTAGAGTGATTTCTCTTCCCCACCACACTGCTAGTTCAGTTTTTTCAGTAGCAGCTGTTTCTCCAGTAAAGAAATAAAGATTAAAACTACATCCAGTTACTGATTTCTCTGCTCCGTTCTTTTAGTGTTGGATATCATAGACTCAAGATGACTAACCTGCTTTGCTGGCCCTGAGTAGGTTCTGCTATTTTATAAATACTTGGGTAGGACAGTGACTGAATCACACATTTTTGAGTAGGAGGACGATCAAAGTGATAATATTTGTTGTTGCTTCCTGTCTCACATTTTTTTGGATAATGCTTATTGTAAAATCAATCGTCTACAGCTAACTCCGTCTTCAAAGGGCAGGATTTCATCTCTGAAGAATGCATCAGACAGAAGTTGATAAAAAGCATTGGGGCTTTTGAGTTTCTCTGAAATTCAGTCTGGCTGAATGTCTCTGTTCCTCTGGACTTGAGAGAGGGACAGGGACACGTGTCTCTTTCCCCCATCCCCACTTTAAAATATGTTTACTTACATACCTAAACCTAAATTGTTGTTGTGGTTTTTGCTCTTGGCTTGTCACTCTGAAGGCTGGATGTTACAGAACTCCATTTTTTTGTGTGTATGTGTGTTTTGTTTTTGGCATCTTTATGATTCCTAAGAATTTGCCATACAGGCTAGTGTGAATAGCTGATCTTGGAAATGACTTTTATCTAATTTTAACTGCCTGTAGACCAATGGAATGCTTCTTCAGTCTTAACAAATGTAGCCTTACCTATATAATACTTTAAGCTGAATTTGATCTTATTCTAAACACTCACTGTTATCTGCTCCAGACTGGAAAGTATTTCACCAATAATATCTTCTAAGAGTTGTTTATAGTTATAGCTAATTCTCTTGGGTTCCTGTTTCAATTTTGTAGCTAGCCTGTCTTTAATTCAGTATTCCATTAAACGTGGGAAGAAAAATATTATACTTATTCTTTGATGTATCCTGTCACTTCTATGCTGAAATGGTTATCATAATTCAGCAGGCTTACCTAGACTTTATTTACATAGGTGAAGTAAGAGGTTTTAATTTTAGATTCCTGCATACCTGCTGATCTTTTAAATATCTTTCTTGTTTTGCTTTAATTCAACCTCTGGTTCACCCTTATATTGGTACAAACAAATCCATGGCTTAAGCAAGTCCATGTTTATGGCAAGTTCCAGGTAATTTTGCAAGAAAGCCATCTGTTTGGGAGTTTTTTATGTTGGCTTTCTTAAATAGTCAATAGGTGGCAGCATTATTCTTCCTTGTATTAGTTTCCTGACTAGTTGGCATTCTTAGGTATCTGAGAAATACTGTTTTGTCTTGAAGACAGCAGTTATGTTTCTCTACTCTGGAAGTCATCAGCTTCTGATTTCAAGGCCAACTTATGCAATATAATATGCACACATTAATCATTGCATTCAAGTATTGGAAGATGAAAACGCTGATGGTTGGACAACATATAATACATGGCAGTGTATTAAGGAGAGAATTAATGCAGGTTATCTTGAAGACAGAGGTCTTTTTCTCTCCTACCCCAAACTTGGCAAATGAGGGGTAGGGTTTTTCCCTCTTTAGTCCAGATAGTATTTGTCTGCCATTGCAAATGACCTCAAATGATTGCTTGTGGTCAGTATCACCTTCTGTAGTTTCAGTTTGTTCTTTATGTGCTTTTCCCCTCCTCCTTAGGAGAAAACATTTTGTAACCTTGGTTATAAAACAGAACTATTCCTTGCCTTTTCTATTTTAAAAGTTGGGACCAACTTCTTCGTTAATATGAAAATTGTTTTTGTGCCTTGAAAATTATGTTCTTGTTTCTGCTTGCTTGCAGAGTCAATAATTGCCTCTTAGAAAACCTAAATATTATTTTTTTTCCCTGATTTGGGGCCAATCATTTATATTAACCAGATTATTATGAAGTTCCATAGATGTGTTTCCTCAATGGCTATATGGAAGATGTGACAATATCCCTAAGAACAAGTTGAGCAGAATTTAATAATAATAATAATGATGATAAAGTTGGAAGGGACCTTGGAGGTCATCTAGTCCAACCCCCTGCTCAGGCAGGAAACACTATACCATTTCGGTCAAATGGCTGTCCAGTTTCTTCTTAAAAACTTCCAGTGTTGGCGCATTCACCGCTTCTGGAGGCAGGTTGTTCCACTGGTTAATTGTTCTAACTGTCAGGAAGTTTCTCCTTAGTTCTAGGTTGCTTCTCTCTTTGGTTAGCTTCCATCCATTGCTCCTTGTCCTGCCTTCAGGCGCTTTGGAGAATAGCTTGACTCCCTCTTCTTTGTGGCAGCCCCTGAGATATTGGAACACTGCTATCATGTCCCCCCTCGTCCTTCTCTTTGTTAAACTAGACATTTAATTGACTTGGAGACTACATTTTCCTTCCTTCTGTAAAGTGTTGTGCTACCGTATGCTAGAACAGCTTCTCAGCAAGTGGCCATTAACCATTTTCTTCACTAGCCCCAAATGATTGTACCTATTGCAGATACTCAGATGTGACTTCAAATGAGTTAAAAAGACTTTTATGGTACAGTTATTCCTGGAGATATGGTTCAAGTTATAGAATGGTCAGAATATACCAACTATTGAACATGCACAGTAACTATTTTTCATAAAGCTTTCAGCATGCGAGAGTCAAACCAGTGCAAAATTTCGCTATTGCAGAGGATTTATTAAAGCTTTCAGTTTTGAGAGTAATATCTTGGCAGTTTCAAATCCTTTCTGGCTGCCAGCCAAGATCAGCATTTCTCGGCAAAACAAGGGATGGAAAGAGCCAAATTGTCTGCACTGACTTTTGTTTATTAAAAGGTTTCAGCTACAGATTGACTTCGGCTCAATATTTGGTTTTGACCAGCCTTGAAATGGCAACTGTGAGCATTTTCTTAGAGAGCTTGTAACCACCAGGTTCTCCATTGTGTCTGAACGTTCCTCCATTGCCTTAAAATGAGAAGGTAGGATAACATGTAGTGCTTCATGGAAACATCCACTCTTGAGTCATTTGTTTTATTAATGTAGTAACAAATGTAACAAACGTAGAAGAGAAGGGCAAGGACTAGAACCATGGCTCATCTTTGTAGGCCATATCCTTCCTTTTTGGACAGAAGGGCTGTGTCTATCATAGACAAGGCCTCTCAGTTCTCACCCTGGCCACAAGCCAAACCCTGGTACACGTAGCAACATCAGCCAGTGATGATGTTGTACATGCAAGTATAAAATGCAGATGGCAACCATACAAACGTTGCCTGATGGGTTTCCAGTGCTGTCTTTGGAGTTATATTTGTTGTTTTAGTCATATTTTTTTTAAAAAAAGTCTCTATCCTGATGAATCCTTTTAAAAGTAATGAGAACAACCACCATATTCAAATAACAAAACCCCAATAAGAGCCAGTTCGGTTTTTCCTTAAAACAAACAAGCAAACAACAGCTAATATATTGATTCTGGAAAATACCCAGGCTTTGATTTCAGTAGACCACCCCACACCCCCCACTCCAGAAGAGAACTTTCGAGAGCTATGCAACATCTCAAAACACTGCCTGGTCTTTCCTTGTTGAAGACATATTGTGGAAATGGCTTTTGGCAAACCACAGTGATGGCACTGAGTAGTTTTTGTAGTTCTGGAAGGAGTATACTGCTTGGGTCAAAGCAGAACTTAGAATTGTGCCCCAGTGTTGTACATTTGAGGTTCTGTTCACTTCAATCACAGCATTAGAAGGGGCATTCACGCTCCTGCTGATACTGAAAAATCTACTTCTGTAGCATTTCTGGAGAATCATGGTCCTGGAAAGGGGTGGAACCGATTGTTCTTGTTCAATGAGCCCACGAAGAAATAGGACGCTTGTTAATGCATACCAGCAAGTAAAATTGAAACTTATAGCTGCACTTAATGTGAGTCCAATTGCTTTGTTCGTAGCTTCAGATTAATAGCTGAAGACTAGATTGGTTGGCAAAACCTTGTTCGTTTGTGAGTAAAGTTTTGATTTTAAAGGATAGCAAGAGTGTTCCTATAGTCTTAACTTTATGTGCTGATTTTTAGTTCTTTTTTTAGTTCTTTAGTGATGGCCAAAAGCTGTTAAGGTATTTTGGAAAATACCTTCCAAAATAGCTCTAGACATTATTTTTATAACACATCTTTCTGTGCCACACTATTGTCTGATAGTTTTATTAGTCTTAGTCTTCTACTTGAAGAGAATGGAAAGCTGACAGAGTTGATTTTAGCAAGATTGTCAACACTGCGTACAATATGGAAAAATAGATAATGTCAACAGAATAAAATGCTGTTGTTGAATAATAGGTTCCTGCTGCTAAATAAAAGCTAAAAGGTCAGTAGATGATTGTTTTCCAAATGGGAGACGTTGAGTCTGTGGCAATGCTCTGTGTTGGCATTGACGTTCTTCGTTATGAAGAATGACTGCTAAAAAATTTAATACTGCATTTCAGGAATTACATAACTCCACAAATCCCTTTTTAAATCATATTATTTATAGAGTTCTGTTTAGTATATTTTCTTTATGCAGAAAAACACAGAGAAACTAAATAGGCATGACCCATGTGTTAATGCAGGATCACGGTACTTTCTATTTTAATGACAGAAGCTAGAGCAGTGGTGGCGAAACTATGGCACGGGTGCCAGAGGTGGCACTCAAAGCCCTCTCTGTGGGCACGCATGCCGTCGCCCCAGTCCTAGGTCTTCAGCTGGGTTTTATAAAACCTTTTCGCTTTAGGCCTCTGCTGCCATGTGTAAAAAAAAAAAAAAGGTTCAATCAATCAGTCAATTTCAACTTCTCGCGGAGAAAAAAAAGATCTTGCAAAGTTGGAATTGATTGATTGATTGAACTTTTTAGTCCCACCCAGTCTGCCGTTACCACCGCAGCTATGCCCACCCAATGTGCCACACACCCCCAATTGGCCACACTCAGCCAATGGGCCACACCCACCCGGCACCCAACGATGCATAAGTGGGTTTTGGGTTGCAGTTTGGGCATTCGGGTCTCTAAAAGGTTCGCCATCACTGAGCTAGAGAAATAAAGTTGAACTACTCACAGTTGTATTTAATAGATGCATTTTAATAGCAATTCTGTTGATAATATTCTATTACCATCATAGAAGAAAAATCTGAGTCTGCATATAAATGTGTACCATTCGAGTGCATTTCTTATCAATCTCCCTTTCCTTTTCAATCTTCTTCCTTGCCCTTGTTGTCTATGGAATCCACTATGCCTGTCCGTTCTTTGTGAAGCCCTTAGGTGTGTGTGCACCCTTCCTTTGTCTTGTCTTAGTCTCCATTCATCTGGTGTCTATGGAGTTAAGATATTGTTGGTCTTCTCTTTATAATTATATGGAAGAAAATAATGCATTCTGAGAACTGTTGAAGACCTTAGCTTGGACTCATGCAGTCACAGCTGCTACAACTGAGAACTGTGCTCTTCTGACTGTAATTTTTTTCCTCTGGTTAAAAATGAATATTTTGGTTTTTAATTGAGAGCAAGTGTGGTCTAAGATTAAGGTGCTAGACCAGCCTGGGGAAACTGGACTTCTGTTCTTGTCTTAGGTATAGGCACAAAATCAGCTGAATGACTTTGGGACAGTTACTCATTCTCAGGCCTAGGAAGAAGGAAATGGCAAGCCACTTCCAGAACAGTTACCTAGAAAACCGCATGGGCTTGTCTACATAGTCACCAAGAATTAAGATCAAGACTTATAAATTGAAGGCCAAAAAACCCCCAAAACACCCCTCCCACCCAGTATTTAATACAATCAGCTTCTTTATTGGCTTGGGGTTATTTTAAGTAGTACAACAAACTCTTGCACTATATTTCATAAGTGATTGTGTTTCCAATGTAATTGTGAGTCTTTTGAATTAGCAATGGATATTTGCCTGTTAACTGAGCAGTACAGAACTAGAAAAGATAATGTGATACACTGTTTAGGATTTCGGACTATAACAGAGGTGGCTTAGGTTAGAAATCCTGCTTATCCATATGCTTACTGGGTCAGTTACTGTGAGTCCCTTGGCAGGAAGATTGATAGAATAAAAGATAATATTCTGCATCTTTTCCTTTCTGGACTAACTGAAACTTCCCATGGTTATCTGAAAAAAACAGATACTACTGGAACACACGATTAAACATTTGTCTTCTGTCTTTAGGCTGAAGGACAGACTTTCCAGTTTCCAGACTTGTTTCCAGACAAGAACAAAGCTCCTGAGCCTGAGTCTTCTGAAGAAATTGAGAAAAAAGCTGATGAAGAGAAACAGAAGAGAATTAATGATCTTAAACGTGGAGATGTCCCTAGCTGGTTTTGGCGTTGATAGAAGATTGGCTGTTTTAGGTTGGGGACCTTGGAGGGATATGAACACTTTCAATCAGTCTTAGACTTCCATTTTAATGGCGTTGTATTTGTAAAACCTTTACAAATATATTTAATCCCTATTTTGTGCAGCAGTTATTTTGATAAAAAATGAAGAGCTCTGGACATAGAAGGTGGCAAGCGTGGGACAAGTTCATCAGCTTCAAACTGTAGTTCATTTTTGTGCTTGGAGGGAAGGAAGACTTACCTATATCTGTCCTTCATTAAACCATCAGGCAATATCTACATGGGTATTGCAGTGATGAAGGTATTAAGAGTTGGAATTATCCGGTTACTAAAATGAGACATTCTAAATCTTTGGGTGGGTTAGACTGCTCTGGGGTAATACCCTTGGAGTGTTAGATGGAATATAACTCTTCTCATATTAATAGAGTATTGGTTTGGAGGTTGAAATGGTATAATGTGTTCTTGGAGCCTAAAGTTCTCAAAACATGCATATTCCAACTGAATTTCATCCAGTAAAAGCCATTGTCAGCCTATGTTCTTTATTTGTTGGCTCCATCTCTAGTTAATATGGGTGTATAGAAATGGAAAGTGATCATTTCTAAAATTCAGGGCAAAGTAGCCCACTCAAAATGTTCTGAGTTGGCTGTAGCCAGACAGAACAAAATTTAAAATGTTTTGAGCGTTCTGGCAATAGGAAACAATAGAAGCTTGGAACCAATCTCATTGTTCCCAGATTTTCAGTTCAGGGATCACACCAGGTAGATAAGTGCTATGCTGACTCCAGATGTGAGTTGCAAGAAAACTTTGAATCGATTTATTTTCTGAAAACCTTTCCAAGGAATTTTTCTACATAACTCTAGTGATCTTATTTAGCTCAGTGTCCACAGTCTGCACAAATATTTGAGTTACATGCTTTTGATGTAAGGGAGGGAGATCCATGAAATTCCTGCTTTTCATTTTTTTTAGAACAATAACTTCAAAAACAAACATACAACTTTGAAACTCTAAACCTGCCTAAATTTTATTGCTCACAGCCCTACTTAACTCTTGACTATTACATGCCATCCAGTCTACAGATATCTCAGCTAATAGGATCATGATTTTCAAAATACATATATATTGAAAATATTTTTTTAAAAATCCTATAGTAATCAAAAGAAACAACAATTTTACCAGTTCTTTTTAATACACTGTGCCTAATAAGCCCAAGTATATTTTAGCCCAGGGGTCCCCAACCTTGGCAACTTTAAGACTTGTGGACTTCAATTTACTTAGCTTTGCTGGCTGAGGAATTCTGGGAGTTGAAGTCCACAAGTCTTAAAGTTGCCAAGGTTGGAGACCCCTGTTTAGCCCATAAAATCTTGCCTTTTGCTGGATTTCTGTTCCTGTATGCATTAGGAATGTTGGAAAACAAAATACTTAAATTGTGGCATGTTAACAACAACTACTACTACTACTACTACTACTACTACTACTACTACTAATAATAATAATAATAATAATAATAATAATAATAGGAGGAGGAGTTGGAAGGAACTTTGGAGGTCTTCTAGTCCAAACCCCAGCACAGGCACGAAACCCTATACCATTTCAGACAAATGGGCTGTTCAGTCTCTTCTTAAAAACTTCCAGTGTTGAATCATTCACAGCTTCTGGATGCAGGTTGTTCCACTGATTAATTGTTCTAATTGTCAGGAAATTTCTCCTTAGTTCTAGGTTGCTTCTCTCTCTGGTTAGTTTCCATCCATTGCTGCTTGTCCTGCCTTCAGGTACTTTAGAAAATAGCTTGACACCCTCTTCTTTGTGGCAGCCCCTGAGATATTGGAACACTGCTATCATGTCCCCCCTCGTCCTTCTCTTAAACTAGACATACCCAATTTCAGCAACCGTTCCTTATATGTTTTAGCCTCCAGTCCCCTAATCATCTTTGTTGCTCTTCTCTGTACTCTTTCTAGAATCTCAACATCTTTTTACATCGTTGTGACCAAAACTGGATGCAGTATTCCAAGTGTGACTTTACCAAGGCATTGTAAAGTGGTATTAACACTTCACGTGATCTTGATTCTATCCCTCTGTTAATGCAGCCTAGCACTGTGTTGGCTTTTTTGGCAGCTGCAGCACACTGCTGGCTCATATTTAAGTGATTGTCCACTAGGACTCTGTGATCTCTCTCATAGTTACTATTGAACAAGGTACCACCTACTATACCTGTGCATTTGGATTTTCTTGCCTAAATGTAGAACCTTTTTTCACCATTGAATTTCATTTTGTTAGATAGTGCCCACTGTTCAAGTCTGTCAAGATCCTTCTGTATCTTAAGCCTATCTTCTGGAGTGTTGACTATTCCTGCCAGCTTGGTGTCATCTGCAAATTTGATGAGTTCCCCATCTACCCCCTCATCCAAATCATTGATGAAGATGTTGAAGAGCACTGGGCCCAGTACAGAGCACTGGAGCACCCCACTACACACTTCCCTCCATGTAGATGCACTTCCACTGAGGAGCACACACTGAGTATGGCCGGTCAGCCAGCTACGAATCCCATCTGGTGGTGATGCTGTCTAACCCACATTTTTCTATCTTATCAAGTAGTAGGTTGTGATCTACTTTATCAAATGCCTTACTGAAGTCCAAGTAAATTATATCCACAGCATTCCTCTGGTCCATGAATTTTGTCACTTGGTCAAAGAATGCAATAAGATTTGTCTGGCATGATCTGTTTTTGACAAACCCATGTTGGCTTTTGGTAATGACTTTGTTTGCCTCTAGGTGTTCGCTGATTCGTTGTTTGATTATCTTTTCCAAAATCTTCCCAGGTATTGAGGTCAGACTGATAGGTCTGTAGTTTCATGGATCCATTTTTTTTCCTTTTTTGAAGATGGGAACTACATCAGTTCTTTTCCAGTCCTCTGGTAGTTCCCCAGTGCTCCAGGATCTTTGAAAGATATAGTTCAGTGGTTCTGAGATCACATCTGCCAGTTCCTTCAGCATCTTGGGGTATAATCCATCTGGTCCTGGTGATTTGAACTCATCTAGAGTGGACGGGTGCTGACTTACATTTTCTTGCCTATCTTAACTTGTGTTTCTAATCTGTTTTTTACAGTACTTTTTTTGATAGGTTGGACTGTTTTTTCCCTTTGTGTAAAGATGGATGCAAAGAACAAGTTGAATAGTTCTGCTTTCTCCCTGTTCCCTGCCTTCTCCCTGCTGCCCCAGTACTGTGTTTGTCAGGAGGCAATGATCAATAAACCAACAAAACCAATAAAATCTTCTACATTCACTCTATATAGAATTTGAACACTGCAACAATATTTGCAATGCTTATGCATTACACATAATGAGTACATATTTGCATCTGCCTACCAGTTCCTTGCCCATAATAATACAACCCACATATATTGACTTGAACCCATGGACTTTTAACAGCAAATAATGTTTACAGGAAAATGATAGTCAGAGATACAGATACTGTATAAGCAAATTGCTTTAGTCATCTTGAACCGGCTGCCCAAATTGCATCTATTCATTATCCTGTATGTATGCATGCCATGGGTCCCAAAGCTAATGCAACCTGTCAAATTCTGGCAAATTTCATTAGCCATTCATGGCTATTTGAAAGATGGTCCATGGAGGCTGGTGGCTGGATCTGTCTCTAGTTCAGATGATGCTACAGACTGGCAGGCTCCCAGTGTGCAACACTCCAGTGGTATGAGCTAATGACTGGGATGGAAGCAGTAGCTTATGCCACTGGAGTGATGCAGACTGAAACTTAAGCCAATTGGTAACTGTCATCAGCTGTATGCTGGCAATGGAGATTCTCAGCCTAAAGCTGGCAATGGGTGGGTGACTACTGGCCTGGAGACTGAGGTAAGGGGCTAACCTTCAGGATAAGCTCTGAGGGGAGATTGGTCTTTAAGAGTTGTTCCAACAAATTGATGTCCAGGTGTGAGTTAATCTTGACTGCTTTAGTAATGTTCTTCCTACAGTAAACGAGTGATTTAGTGACTGAAGAGGATAGGTAGAAACCAGATTAATCCATTTTAAACACACCAAAAGTACATGCTGCAAAAGAACTGTCAGAGGAAATTTAAGCAGGTTAATAATTCCTCCTGCTCAACAATGTACTGAACAGACATTTAAAGCAGGGAAAGGGAATAGAGGGCCAAGTCTGTCCTCCCTCTAAAATGGACTACTTGTGAGTTCTACTGAGAGAAACACAATTCCTATTTCTTAACTTTTGAAAAGTTTGTCTGCTGCGTTGTACAGATAAATGCTATCCCTACAGCAGATCCTCTTAGAGATGGCAACACTTTTTCCTTTGGCATGACTAAACACACTGCCTTAAGAGGGTACTGTTATTCTTGTGCTAGCCAGCCACAACCCTGTTCTTAAGGTCTGGTTTTTACTAGTGGTGGGGCATCAACTGGAGATCTGAGCCTCTTACTCTTGACTGTTTCCTAGCCTCTTTGGCCTAGGCCACCAGGGAAGTTGTCATGGCTGACTATTCTCTGCTTCACTGTCTGGCCTGTTCCTCAGGGGCTTCAAGCATCACAGAATTGCAGTGTCAAGTCAATTTGCCAAGTGTCTGGAGTTCACCAAGGCTTTTTCTAATAAACGAATTATGGGCTTTGCCTGTCTGAGCACAACCTGGCCTGAACTCAAGTGTTTGGTTGAAAAGAAGCACAGGGCAAGCACAGAGATTTCAGCAATGTGCTTGGAGAAAGGTATCCCAGCAGGTAAGAGACACAAAATGTACAAGGTGTCATAGATACTTTGTTTCTTGCCGTTTAGAGAAAACCCAGTGTTGCTCCCTATGTTGTTGCTCCCTGTATCACTGATTCAAGGAGGGTAACCTTTGCCCAGCCAAGTTCATATGTAAGAATCTTAAAGTAGGGAGTATGGAGCAGGAGGAAGCCCTAGGAAGCCTGTGTCCTCTCTTCCGGGCTGAACTATTGGATATCCAAAGTTGTCATCAGTACAATGTCGTGTTTTTGTTACTGATCTCACCCTTGGTAGTACTGATTTGATACTATTTCACCCTCTTTCTGTCAAAAGCTATATTACTAACTGACAGAACTTGCTGCTAGTCAGCAACACTTCTTATAGCTGTCAATGGGAGAGTCAGCTGAAATGTTCTAAAACAAGGTAAGTTATTTCTGTCAAACTGTATTCTGCAATGATAATGAGCAACATAGCATATTCCTCCAATATCAAACCACCTCTATTACTCTGGGAAGGCCATCCCTACCCTCCAGCGTTGAATATTACCTCTGCTTCATTCATAATGCCCATCTAGTGACATTTCCTGCTACCAAAGGTTCAGAAATATTACTAATGCCCCACCTCCTTAGAGTTGCCTTCCATTCTCTCTCTTGCCCTCTCTCTTCTCAATCAGGGTGGCTTTGGCCAATGGGATTTTTATGGAAGTAGGGAAGATGGAAGATATAGTTAGTCATCCCTAAATTGGGGGAGCTTAATTTACAAAACCCTAAATTTAATTAGAAGGAAGTGATTGTTATCCACCCAAAAAAGTA